CTGACAGTCAGTAATATGCAGTGAAACAGTGTATGACATGTTGGGAGGCAGAAATCAACCCCAAAATAATCAGGATAGTGTAATAGACATCTTCCACTATCTCACAGATCCAAGCATGGCATGTGTCAAGAATTGTGTAACTAAGAATGGAAAAGAATGAGTCTCATACAAGGGAAAAAAATACACCACCCTCGGGTCCAAATGGCAGGTGAGCTTACTGAAAAAAAATCTCGGTCTTGTGGCTCTAGTCCCATTGATATCAGATAAGCTTAATAGAAAAAGAAACACAAGAACAAAGCAAGTCCCAGTTGTTTCTTCATATTCTCCAATCTTCTAAAGGTAAAGAATATAAACCAAGAAGACCAAATTCAAGGAATCAGAAACTAATTCCCAAAACTTAAAAATGTAAATCAATGGGAACTAACTAAAATAATTTCAGCATATATTCAGTCCATTAAATTACTGAGAGCACCTGAACGCTAATGTAAATGCTAATTATTATTTGGGGATCAAATGATTATAACTTTTGGGAACATACTGACAATGTAGCCCAAAATTAAAAGCTACACACAGCAGAGTTTGTGCCCTTGAATCTTGAAAGTTCTGGGTCATCAACGTTCAACACCAATAACCATAAGGTCTTTCTACAATGTTACAGCATATGACAATACATCTTATGTCTCACCATGAGGATTAGAACAGAAAAATTTCCTTCAAAGAGGAGATTAGAATAGAAAACCCTCTTAATGTAGAAAGAGCTAATCACCATAATGACATCATATTATCTAACTGCAGTCTACAAGAGTAATTTTGTAACCTAGACAGGTTGTAGCCTTTCTCTACTCAATAGTAATACCAGGTTTAGCAGAGCAGTGAACCTCACTAGCTAAACTTTGTCATCTATAATCAACAGCGGATTTAAAGTGTCCAGACCTGCAATTTAAAATAAATTTCAAATCATAACATTGTGAAATAACAGGGAGAAAAAAAACCATAAAACCAATCCAAAGAACAAGTCATCCAAAAGACATATTATGTTATTAAAACCTAAGCAAAGAAGCGACAACAGACATCCAAAAGACATTCCACATTCTCACTATAAATTCAATGAAGTGTATTATCAAAATGAAAACAATGGATCACAATCAAAACTATTAGAATTCCATCGTACGCACTTTTTAAACCAGAGACTGAGTGCAAGTTTCAAACAAAGCCAAGAAACGTTGAAACATTAGATAAACTTTTGATTCTCAGAATTTGAACTGTATTAGCAAACATGGTGAGAAGTTAAACAGACAGACAACCAGAAATTCCAGGATCTAGAGCTTACAGACAGAACCTATGGGGCATTTGGGGGGATGTCAACTAGTCCAGAAACAGCATCAAGATCAAGCAATACGTACTCTTCTTCATCCTCCTGATAAACATCATGATTCAAATTTTCAGCCATTACAGACCAACTTCCAAATGCAAAGAGTATCTGCCAAATGAATAAAAAATTCGAACTATTACAAATCCAAATAATACTTCCGAGCACATTAATCAACATGCATATTAAGTTAACTTCTTTGAGCCCTTTTATCAACATGTTCAACTGCAAAGGAAGCGAATGCATAATCAGAAAAATATTTTCAAATATGGACAGCACCTTTTTTTCTTTATAGTTTGACACTAAACTTATTAAAATATTTTTAATAAAATTGTCCTTCATATTATTTTATTAATGAAATTTTGGTAATTTTATTATACAAACGGTACAAAAAAAGTGTTATCCTACTTGTCATTCCAACTGAAAAACACCTCTCTAATATGCTAATTTGAAACCAAAATTTCAGATCTTGAAACTAAAACAAAAATATATATCTATTGTAAAAAAGGGGACTACAACTCAATATTATATATTCACAAAATTAAAACCACTAAAGCCCGGATTTTTTTTTTCTGGGTCCAATGTTCAAGGTCTGTATAAAAATTAGTCTCTTTCAGTACTATATACCCAAAAACGAAAAAATAAAATAAAAAATCCAAGATAAACAAACCCAAAGAAAAAAAAAAAAGAAAAAAAAATTGGAAAAGCTAACCGTGATAGGCATCCTAATTAAACATTTTTTTATCAATAAAAGAAGAAAAGCTGGAAATTTACCTTATCTCAAAAGAAAAGCAGCTCTTAATGAAAGGAGGGTGATGCCGAATAACTCTGGGATGAGAGGTGCAATGTGCAAACGGCCCTTAATTTGCTTTTTGGGTTTTTTGCCCTTCCAAGGAAATAAAGTTAAAAATAAAATAAAATAAAATAAAGATGCTATTTTTTTTGTCCAAATTTATTGTTAAGCACTTAAACTTCTGAATAAGCAAAATCATCCAAATGAATTTTTAATGCACCCACTGTTATAGCTCGATTGTCAAGCTTTGTATTTTTCCATATCATAAAAGATGTGTTTGATTTTCAAAAAAAAAAAAAAAATACTAATGTAAATGAATTATTAATTATAAAATAACAAAAAATGTGATAAGTAGTTTAAATCTTATTAAATTATATAATTTAAATTATTAGATAAACAATTGATATCCAATTTTAAAAACTATCATCTTCATCTAATACTTTTTATTTTACAATTCAACACTCATTTAAAAAAAAAATTATTTCTTGTCATCTAAATTATGTTGCTCCATAAAAGCTCAATCATTTAGGGTATGGTTTTTGTTTTTATATAGCCGCTAGAGGGAAATTTAATATTTTTCCTGAACAGTTCCAAGATATCTCTAGATGGATTCCTAGGTCTGCATCATAAATTCTATGTCCGAAAGTCCTGTGTTTCGATATACATCTCCATTGAATTAGAACTAGAACTACCATTCAAATGGATATATATGTTATTTCATACTCGTGGCGATTTGTTTCCTCACATGGAAAAACTTTGTTTTTCAAAACTATTAATTAATCCATACCATGCGCACAAATCCAAGATCTTCTCTTCCCCTCAAATCTTACCTCTGTTCTTACAGATGGAGACAGCACAACTTGATGTGGATGCCTGAGTCTAAGACAGCCATGGGATTTCCCGGTATGAGTCATTTGGATTTTTCTTTTGCCATACACTTAGGTTTAATATTTTGGGTTGGTCCACAATATTGATTGTTTCAGTTGTCCATCCATCTAACAACTCACGTTAACACCCAGATGAGTGCTGGAACACCGACCAGCTGGATCCATGATATTGTTTCGGTACTTTTTTAGAACTTCTTTTCTTGCATTTACAGGTTTTCACTTTCATAGGATGAAATGGGTGGCGGCCGGCTCTTAAACATACTTTTAGTTGTTTATTTTAATAAATTTACAGATTTTAATTTTTTATTTTATATAAGGTATTTTTAATTTTTTATTTTAATAAACTTATAAATTTTAGTCTCTTACTTTATATTATTATGTTTTTAGTCTCTCACTTATATAAATTAAAAAAAATAATTTTTATTTAAGATCATGTTATAATATTTTATTAGTTCTGTTAATTAATTATTAACGTTTCGTTAATAAAACTAACAAATAAAATTGAATTTAAATTTTATATTTTCTATAACAGAATATTAATAAAAATGTTAACAGTCAGTTAACAGAATTAACAGTCAATTAATAGAATTAATAAAACATTATAATCTTATATTAAGTGATGGTTATTTTCTTTAATTCGTATTAGCAAGAGGTTAAAATCTACAAACTTATTAAGATAAATGGTTAAAAATATCATAGTATAAAGTGAGTAATTAAAATTTATAAATTTATTAAGATAAAAGGCAAAAGTAAGTTTTTGTCATGGTGGCTTGGGCCATAAATAATTTGCTTCTTTTATCGGTGTTGTACTATTTTTTTAAATTTTAAGTTATATAATAAAAAATTTTATTTTTAAAATTAATTCATATAATTTGGATTTAAAATTTTTTTAAAATTATTATTAAATTATTTAACTAGTTAATGTTGGTGTTGTAGTACATTGTATTATATATATTATAAGATTTTTCATCTTTTAATATTTAAAAAATGTTAATTAAAATTAATAAAATATATAAAATTATTTTAAAATTTAAATTTTTTAAATAACATATTGTATGAAAGCGGTCTATGTGAAGCAGAGTCAAACAAAGTCTTTACTCATTTCTTAGCCATAAAACACAGGGAGTCAGCTGGTGGTAATGAAGATGCTTGAGTGGTAAGCGGCCATTGCTTCTTATATTATGTTTTATTCTTGATTCAATTCTTGGTAATTCTTTATAATCCACCTGTCATATGAACTGTATTTTCTGCTTGTCTTGTGTCTAATTATGACATTTACATATTAGGCAATAGCCCTTTCCGTGAACTCCGTCTTACCTAAATTTCATGATATGATATTAAGTTCTAACTGAACTTAATCTTGTGTGTATGCAAGTTAGTCAAAAGTATAATGTAGCATAAGCAAAACATTGATAGATTTTCTTTTAACTCCTCAAATCGTGCATGTACCCGAACTCGTTTTCTACCGGTTTGTCCAAGCTATTGCTTTGTATGTCAAACAAATCATAAATTGGGCATATGGTGGTCCTCAAGTTTGTAGGTCCATTGTTGAGGTGTAATCATGAAAGATGAAACAACTCTGCCTCTAAGTCTTGCAAGTGGTCATGGCTTCATTCTTTGCTCATACAACTGTAAGGATTCATTTTCTTTATGAGATTGAGACCCTACAATAACCAACATTCAAACCCATGAGTCCATCCATGGCCAAAATCTTACTAGAAAAACATGAATCATACTCAAGGATTGAAAAAGGCAAAACCCCTTTCAAGCCCAAGTTACTATTCTTGAGTCATTAAGGGTGTCTCTATTTTTTGGTTAACCAAAGATAGCATTCTTCGTTCGTCATTTTCATAGAAATGTGGATGCAACTAACATTTAGATTTTTTATTTTTTTTTTGACAATATGAATTAATTAAGAAAAATGTTAGTATCTATTAGTAAAGAGACTTAAATCTCTGAAGGGATGCAGACCACCCGCTGCCCAATGGCAGCGTGGACACTTAGGCCACATGGGATCTACAACTAACATTTAGATCTTGATTTGTTTGATTAGTTCTACTTTACTTTTTCTTAATTTTAAACATTAAAAAAATGAAGAGAGGAGTGCCACGTCTTTTTATAATTAAGACAAAATTCCTGCCACCCACCAAATCTAAAGATATATTAAAGCAAAACCAAAAAATTCTTTTTGTGTTCATATTGTATGTTCACATTTGTTCACACTTATAAACTATATAATTTTATCTTCTAAACCCCTGAACTGGATCAAAACTGGATTGGAACCAGTTCAAATACTCCCTTTCACACTACATCAAATTTAATGATAGGGGTGGAGTTATTATTATATCCGAAATAATTAATGTCATATCCTTTTAATATAAAATACCTATTATACCATTACATTATACTTTTTCTTAAAATTCTACATTTTTTTATTTCTTAATAAATTAAAAGTATAATAATAATATATATTAAAGCAAAAC